AAGTACAAAGTAAATAAATTTTATGTACTTCAAGTAAAGTAGTAAGTACACCGGGTGCAATGTAATTCAAGTAAGGTATATAAATACAATATATTTCAAGGTAAAGTACAAGCACTTTCACACAATCTTTCGTGATGCCCTTTCATTATCTATACTGTGTTTTTTTAACTGGTATGTATTGCTCCAAGGGTAATCGGAGGTGCATCAGTTCCTTACGAAAATGGCAGCAGATATTGTATAAAAGTCAAGTCACCCCAGAGTAGTTGTTTTACTCTCGCTGACGAGCTATTTCACAGAATCAACTTATACGGCACTTATTTCCATCGGTCTTACAGACGCCATTACTTGACTCAGAGAAATCACCAGGTGACGTCTTGAAAAAGCGCGTTTTCACACGACAATACAACCATTTTTTGTTCTAAAATTCGGAGAATGTACATTGAAGGCGGGAGTTTCATCGGAAAATACAAGTACATGTTTAGAAAATTTACTTCAAGTAAAGTGCAATTTCTCTAAACAGTAGTGAGTTCAGTACCATGTACATGAAGTACTTCCCAACACTGCTTGTTTATTATTTGATTTATAAAAACAGTGGGGGAATTAGTAATCACTACAGGTTTCCCGAACGATCTTTGAATCTTTAAAGAACTGCATATTCTGAGTTTCGGGAGGAAAGGCAACACAAAAAGTTAATCTTGGCGTTGCCCTTTAGCACGCGATTCTTCGAGTACAGCGCAAACTACGGGAGCACCAGATGAGTTTCAGAGCAGGTGCTGCATTTTTGCGACTCCTTTGAGTGAGGATGCAGTGTGTGCACCTCCTTTAGTGGGCGAGAGTTTCTGGTCGTGGTTCACGCCAGTCGTGGTTCATGCCAAAAAAGACTGCCCCTCGTGCACCCCCGAGTTCTCGAAAACCAAAATTCTCGGCGAGCACAAATCTCGATTCGGCAGGAGAATCCTTGAGTCCCTACATATCAAATCTTCAGTCTCAAACCTGTCCAGCCATCCCTTTCTCTTTCCGATCGAGAGATTCGCTTCCTGCGGGGCGAGAGTTCCTCCAAAGACATAAAAAGTCTAAATTCGCGTATCCTCTTCTCCTTCTCTTCTCAGCGCCTTTTCCCCCTCTTTTCTTCCTTCCCCAAGAGAGCATCGCCGGCACATCTTCTCTTCCTCCTCTTCTCCGCGCCTTTCCTCGCTCCTCCCTTTCCCCAAGAGGGCACCACCCGCACTCGGGGCTGCGTGTAACTGCGACGTTCCGATTGACACACAGCAGACCCCCCTTCCGCTATGCACGCTTAGCTGCGAGCTGGCTCGCGCTAAGCGCCATCCTCCCTCTCTACCTCCCCGACACCCCCCGTCGAGCTTCACGAGGCGAAGTCGAGCCAGTAAACGTTTTGTTGAAAGTCGAAAGCCTGTCTTGTCTGTTTGTCTTAAATGTTCCTCTTTCCTTATCGTAAATTAATAACCAACACGCTCAACCATCTACAAGTGGGGACAAGCCCTCTCTTCAAATCGGTCAAGTCTTCTTGAGCTTGGGGACGCAGCGAAATTCCAGTCATTGGCGCTAATCCCTCAGTTACTCGGTCTCTTTTGCGTCGTGTCTGATCGCTACCCGTGCCTCGAAGCAGTGTTGTTGCCATAAGGGGAGAGGGGGGGAGGCTTGTAATAATATTGGGGGGTTTTCGGATTCTCCGAACCATTCCTCCTCCCTTCCTACCACATGCTTCCCCTTCTTTGCAAATATCACCTGATCTTTCAACATCTTATCTTTTTTGTGCAGGAATGTATGTTGACAAGCAAAACAACCACTAAAATTCGGAAATAATTTGTAACTTCAGTAGAATTTACCCAAAAATTATTTAAAGTAAACTACTAATTACCGAAATAAAAATATTCTTGAAAGTTACTAAACTACTCAGAAAAGTAGTTTAACTACAGTAACTTGAGAAGAGTAGTAGAACTACGTACAAGTATGGTTGAGAGCCTTCCCGGAGGGAAAAGTTCGATATGGCCAATATGCTGTTCTTGATAAAAATTAGATGTTACATGCATTTTTATTTAACTTTTCCGTTAGTTCAATATTGACAATAATTCGCTGTACGTGGGTTCGTTATAAACGGATTTCACTGTATTGGATATAATCAGTTATGAAGATCTTGCTTGTAAAATTTATTTTTTGCTTTCCTCATGCTGCATTTAAATTATTTTAAACAATTTTTTTTTTTTGAAAATCAAACCGAAGATTAGACTTTTAGCTCTAGCAAAGAGACGTATATTTTTAGTATTCGATTTTCTAAATATTTTCATAAACCGGGGTTGATCAGCATTCACCTTTAAAACAGTCTGAGGTACAAAGTCTGACATCAATTTTTATCTATAACTAATTAAACTCGACAGTTCTTTTAAGTTTAACTCGTATTTCGAATAAAACAGCTTGAGAAACTGATAAAAGGAGGTTTTATTAACTTTGTTACAAGCATTAAAAATTTTAGAGATCATATTTTTACTTATTATTGGAAGGGACATTTCAACCAGGACTATGTTGTGATCGCCTATTTTATCAAGATTACGAATCGATCTGACATTGTCAACACTCGTGGTAAAAACAAGATCCAAAAATAATTTATTCGTGTAGGTCTTGAACTATTTAGGATAGGCCGCATCTATTCATTGCGTAAATAAATATCGAGACTTTTTCTGGAGCCACACATGACGCTTCTTTCGAATCAATTGACGGATAATTAAAATCACCGCTATTATTTCGAATCAACAAACCGATATTTAAAATTACCGCCAAGAAATGTGCTTCATGCAAGTATGCACCTTTTCAACAAAAGCACTGCCACGGCCAGGAGGGCGGTAACAGGCGCCAACAATGACAAATAATGAAGAATGTCCCAAGCGTGCCCATCAAATGCATTAATAGTTTTGTCGCTGGCCATGGGGGGGGGGGGGGGGAGGAGGGGGGGGGGGAGAACACCACCACGGCTATGCGCACAATCTTTACGAAACCAAGGAAATGACTGAAGTGTACTTCGCCATCGCTTATTTTAGGGTGAAGCCATATTTCGGTTGCAAAGCATTTTGGCGCCTGAATCATTTCATAACTGATAAGGCAAGATCTTGCTTAGACAAAAGACTACAGAAGTTTGCGGCAAGTCCCCAGAGGTCAACACGAACATTTCTGCGGGTTTTCCTAGATTTTTCATATCATGTTTGAATCCTCGGCTTGAAAATTCTTAAGCCAAATAACATCATTGGTTTAGTACAGTATATGTACTGCTTTCCGCATTATAATGCTTTTTCATACACGAGTTTCGCTTTAACGTTTTCTGCCCTCAACTGCGCGCTAAACTCCCATAATTTGTTACTGTGGTGGCAAACCCTAGAAGTAAGGTCTTCGGAGATGTACACTCTCAGAGCGTGTAAACGTTTCAGTTTGTGGTAATTATTTAACACGTTTTATCTCCTGCGGTAGTCCAGGAACCGAACCACGATAGGTCGCGCTGACTCACCACGTCTGCAGCCAACGCAATGTGCGCGTTCAATCTCTCCAGCTTCTACGCCAAGGTTTCGTTTTATAAATTATTTTACGCAGTTAGCTATTTCGTCCCATATTTCATTTTGTTTTGGGGGAACGCCCTTAAATAGAAAGTTGCCCCTTCTCATTCTGTTGTTAATGTCGTCGATTCTCGAGTTTAAGGCAAATATTTTATCGCGCGAGTAGCCAATATCTTCGAGAACGTCATTCATAGTAGATTCAACAACCGCAAGCCATTCTTTAATGCCATTAATTTTCCATTTATTTTTCTAGAATTGTCACCTATTGCTTGAGTTTGTCGATTCCTGTACTGATATTGCTAAGTTTATCGCGGGTTTGTTTTTGGTATTTGGCATTCGTTGACTCGAGGGTTTTACAGGTATACCCAGTTTTTTCATACTAGTAGGGCCAGGATTATGTTCGATATCCCAAGAAAGCAATACTAATGCGTCGAGGAAAAGAAGGCAGCTATCTTGAGATACCAAAAGTAAACAAGCGAATGCAGAAAGAGCAAGGTTGAAAAAAAAAAAAAGGGTTAGCAAGCGCTTTTTGAGGATGGGACACGGCACTTCTAAGAGCAATGTGTTATTGGAACGTTTGCATTCATTATTTTTCAAATAACTGGCTTGTTTTATGAAGCGTGTTAGTGTCGGCAGGAATGTGTCGTGCCCCGAAGCTTGCGTTGGAAGATGGTCCTTTTGTATAGGTAGCCCGTCGTTGGTAACGGAAGAGTCCGTCGTAGCACCATCGCGCAGCTTTTTACAATGTAGAACCATATCGTCGATGAGTCAGCAGGAGACTCCCTTGACGTTGACGAATCCAGGTTGAGTGCGTGTGTCGGTGGCCATGACGAGGGACAGGCCACGCTCTCGCCCGAGAGAGTAGGCGAAAGCGTGAAGAGCAGCGACGCCTGTGTTATAAAACGTGTTAGCCTCGGCAGGGTTCTGCCGTGCCGTTTTTTCAGTGATACTTTTTTTTTTCTAAGCTCGGAGTCCTTGGCGTTTAGTCGTGCAATCAAGATATTGTATTATTCCTCATGGCTGGCACTGCCCCGTCGAATGGGTCTTTTATGATATCGGAGACTGTACACCCCTCCCCCCCCCCCCCCCCCCCCCCCCTACTCAATCTAAGTCTGCTATCACTATACTTCGTTTCAGCTTCGGTCCGAGCGCGCCCGATGTTATGAGCCGAAGGGCCAATCAAACAGCGCAAAAAGCGGCGCGTCATGGCGTGATCTCTGCGTTTGATAGGACAAGCCGGCGGAGGGGCACGCACAGAGAGACGGCGAATACCGGCTGGTCCTATCAACTGCAGAGAGCACGCAATGACGCTTTGCCCCTCTCGCTGTTTGATTGGCCCTTCGGCTCATAACATCGGCCGCGCTCGGACCGAAGCTGAAACGAAGTATAGGCAGTGGTGTGCCACCTCTAGTTCTACAGCTTGTCGCTTCCTGTGCGCAGCACTCTGGGACCGATGGCCCTATCCCGCGGGTACCAACAAGACCGCTGTCCCGGTTCAGCAAAAGGCCCGGACAAGTCCCGAGGATGTTATCTCAGCTGGAGGCGCGCTGTTCGTGCACAAGACGCAGCTCAACGGAAGCGAGACTCTATCCTCGAAAGGCGCCACGAGGTCGCCGGTCACGCTTGCTGTGAGTCTACCCGTGCACATGTGATTACTCAGTACCACCTATAAAGCAAGGCTCGTGCCTCTTCCCTGCACAACGTGATCACCATAGTCGCTGACAAAGTGAGAACGGTAGAGTGTTTTTCTTCAGCGCTTCACGTCCAACACGCGCTCCCTACCTTCCCCGCGCTACTCCCGCGGGCGCGCTTTCGATGCGTACGAGCATATCCTCCTATATACTAACAAAACCTGGCACATCGCCACGAGAAGCAGAGCCGCCACGAGAAGCAGCCGCCAAAATGGAAGGTGGAGCGTCAGACAACGAATGAGAGGAGAGCCACGTGACTGGCGCCCGGATGGGGCGAGACGCCGAAACACACTTCTCCCGAGCGAGCAAGTGTGTTTCGGGCCCTAGCCGCTGCAGAAGCTGTTCGCTTGCGTTCAGGTTCCTCGAAAAATAGCTCTTTGATGCTCCGCGCTACCAGATCCTCGCGCTCCAAATCTGCGATCGGGCACTCTATGGCTCCTTCCATGCACGAACTGCCAGGCTTTGTGAGTATAGACCTTTTCACCCTCCGCCGCATGGGCGCTGCCATCTTGGAATCACGTGATGCGGCCGCCATTAGGTTGCTTCAACTTGTTGCTCCACTCTCCCGTCCGCGCCTTGGTGGATGCGTTGAATCCGTGTTTTTCGTCGCGTTTCACCGCGTTTCTTGCCCTACTCCGTAAAGTGTCGTCCGATACTTATACTTACCATGCAATTGCATTACATCATTATGCGTGCAATTTCTGTAGTTGATTTTGTAACACGTTTTCAATATTTTTTACCGTCGGCGTGCGGGATATGCGTGAAAAGGTTTTATATAGAACGGGGATCAGCGTTTGCACTTGCGCACATTTAATACATATATGACTGGAAGAGAGCCTCGAGAGTTCAAATACCAATAACTTATGAGAACTGAGGTTTGGTTATTAATAAGGGCGGAAAATTTGCAATAGGAAGCCCAATGTTATTATATATATGAGTGCGCATTGGTGTCAAGGAAGAAAACAAAAACACTCAGCGTAATTAGCCACGTGTCTTTCCTGAAAACATTGTGTTTTGTAGTTCCAACAGATCGAAAACAGTTTCTTTTGATTACTCTAGGGAACTAGCGGACAAAGCGCGGGAACAAACATTTAGTTTTAATTATTTTTAATACTAGAAATAATGGTACCTTAACATTAGGCAACTTGTTTGTTCGCAATATTGCACCTATATCTGTTTTACGTTCTTAATCGCGTGGGTGATGTAAGCATTCGCTTTATCGGTTTATTTATGAATTCCACGAAATTTTATATCATGCTTGGTCCTATGTCCATAGTCTTTCAGTTGCTTAAGTCATTTTTTAATATAACCATGCAGTTTCAATTAATTTATTTCAACGCAAATATTTTAACTCCCCGCCTAAGAAACTGCCACAGACAGGTTGATAGTGCCTATGATTCATTAAATGTGACGCCGAAAAGAATCCTTCTGCATGAAAATCACCCGAATGCAGCCGGTCGTCGACTTCGAATAGGGAGTTACTTTCAGTAGATGGCGACGTCAAAATGTGCAAAGCGCATCGTTTCAAATCACTGAACACCTTTCTACACAGGTCCATTGGGTGGCGCCTGGCGTTCGACTTCAGCTAAACTTATCGGAGATCATTTCTTTTGCGCTCTTCAATTTCATTCGGCAAATCTTACGGAAGATGAATATCAGACTTTATTTGAAGTCTGGCATTCACTTATCTCACCATCCTCATACCTTGAAAACGTCGTAAGCAAATGTCCATATAACAAAAAGTTTATTTCATAAGGCCAATATTTTGAAATGCTGTAAATGAGTTCTTTAGTTAAAGAAATTTTCTAGTCAGCCTATTTCTCGAGCGCTTAATTTCTTTAAATAAAACAGGCCGAGACAATATCACTTTTTGTACATTATCTACGTGATTATATTAAACTTTTCTAGTCATTATAAAACACGTTTCCAGTCTCGAAGTTAGACAAAATTGGTGTACGGAAACCAAACATCGAACAGTAAACTTGTCAGTTCATCTGTTCTTGGGGATTCAGCAGATTGGTAATCATGTTGTCGACCTGATTTTTCACTAAGCACTCATGCCATATAGTATGTTGCAATATAAGATGATCAGTTCAATATCTGACTTGAGCGGGAGCTATCTACTTCCGTACCGCTCGGTGCAAGCACAGCCAAAGCACGGCGGCTGGCAACCAGCGCACGCTGCAGGCGGAGCTTGTCCTGCTCTTTACTTTTTTTTTCTTCTTGAAATTAGTGTCCACGGGTACGGCCGTGGAGGGTGGAGAATGGTACTTTTCCCTGTGCATCAGCGCAGTTGTTTCACCGCCGAACCTGGCCGAAATTAATGATTGACGGAATTAGACGCATATAGTGTTAGTAAAAAAAGATCGCAATTTAAGCTTGAGACCACTTCGTGGTTTGCCAAGTGGCTCAATACTATTGTTTCATTCGCTCTGTGCTACTAGAAAGAAATTCATATCGCAAAATTATTCGAAAGTGGCATGAAACAGCATCACAATAGCGTGTACGTTGAAACCAAAACCGACCAAAATGAAGCAACCTAATGGCGCCGAGTGCGCCAGCGCCCTCTAGCCGCCGGTCAGGCAACTACTGGAATGAAAAGGTCTATAGAGGAGGCTATGGTTCAAGACGCCAAGGCGTTGTGTAAGATGGGAAGCTCACGCTGGAGGCAGAACCACAGAAGTTCCTCGTTGTCGGTTTCAGCTTGTTAGCGACTATAGTTGAGCTTCAGCTTGTTTGCTGCTTAGGACGGGTAGTGGATCTACTAACGATGAAGTCATCCGCAGACCTTGTCTTCCAGGTGGTATTGGATTACCCATCTTGGCTGTGTCTGCCGCCGTGTACAATAGAAGAGGTAGCGAGAAAGTTGGTCTGAACGGCACCGCCTCGTCTCGGAGCCAGTGTGGCGAAGATTTGCTCTCATTTTCGACGAGCGCTGTTAGATGGCGCATCGTGTAATGGGCCAATGAGACCCAGTAGGAGGCCCCAAACCGGCAGTGCTCTTTTCGGGAAATGCGCAAAGCCCGAACAAACATTTGCCGCCTTGTCTGGTTTTGTTTCAGACTCCTCCCTCCCTTCTTTCTTTGATCGTGCTCCTCCCGTCAAGTGACTCCAATTCCAGCCGAATGCTGGCGCTGTGCTCGTGCTCAATGTGCGCCTCGTGTAGGGCTGTCGATTTTCAATACACGCCAATTTCTCCTCTTCCTCCTTGCGCAAGCCTATTGCACGTGACGCATGAACCACTGCCTTCCCCCCCCCCACTTAGCTTTTCTATCAAGAAGGCGAGGGTTCGGTGGCCGAGTGATCTGGCGCGCACCAGCTCGGAGTACGTGGAGCGGGAGCTCGCGCTGCAGAGCACGGGGATCCTGGGTTCTATCCCCAGCCCTGCCCGTTTCGGTGTGGATGAGCATCGTTTTGGCGTGCGGTCGTGTATCACTACTGCGTGGTGCACGTCAAAGGCCACAAACTAGTGGTTGCACTGCACTGGCTAAATTGTTCATCTACAGATGGGAGACAAGTCGTCCGTTGAGGCAGACTGAGTTCGAGGCTGTATAAACCTACACGCAACGCAATTTTTGTTTTTGTTTTTTTTATCAAGGAGGCGTTGGTCGAGTGCAAGAACAAAAGGGAGGAAGGGGGAAGGCTAGCGGAAGTGATGGCGTCGGCTGTGTCGGGTGAGCCTTGCTTGCCTCACAGCCACCACCACCTAAAAAATCAAAACCTGTGAACAGACTCTTCTGCCTGCACGTAACGCCATCACACTCAAATGGAACCAACTCGACAATTGGGCCTGTAACAGCTCCGGGGTCGTCCTTGTTGTCGGGCTCCGCTGGAGCCAGGCGCCGACCAGGACATCAGGCAGAAGGAGCTCGGAAGCAGGGCCGCTTTTGACAACGGGTTTACTTTACATTTGTACAGGGTCGAAAAGCAGCATGAGAAGACAGGAGTCCCGAAGAAGTCCGCTTCTTTTAACGGGATGCTCTTCCCTACATTCCCCACGTAGGGATTTCAGTTAGCGATGTCAGCTCCTCCCCCACACACAGCGAAACACCCCCGTCTCCGCCCACAGACGCCATCAACACCATGCAGATTAGCTGTCTCAAAGACGTGTCCGCTTGTCCCCCGAGGGGTCGGCGGGGTCGGCGCGGCGCGCATCCATGATTGCTGCTGCAGCGGCTTCCTCTTCCGAAGGGAAGGTAATTGGGTGCGGGGCGCCCGGCGGGTGGGGTCCACCTGGGAAGTTCGGGAAAGGATGCATTGGCTACGTTTACATGGATGCGACTGCAGCGCATCGGATCCAGTTAACGAATCGAATCGGTCCATGTAAACAACTCGGATCGGATCGGATCCGATCCGATCCGCTGGGACGGGGTGGTTTGAGATGGTCAATCCGAATCGAGACTCTCCATGTATACGCTAGCGGATCGAATCGAGTGCTCGAGCGAGGGATTACGGGAGCTTTGCTTCGCCTGCCGCTAGGCAAACCGGACACCTCGAAAACAATCTGTAAGTCACGAGATTTGCGTTGTGATCCTTCGACACGAGGTGCCGCTGCTGGTCGATCCGAATCCATGTAAACTTAGTGGTTGAAGTGGATCCGATTCGCTAACTGGATCCGATGCGCTGCTGTCGTATCCATGTAAACGTAGGGCTACGTTTACATGGATGCGACTGCAGCGCATCGGATCCAGTTAACGAATCGAATCGGTCCATGTAAACAACTCGGATCGGATCCGATCCGATCCGCTGGGACGGGGTGGTTTGAGATGGTCAATCCGAATCGAGACTCTCCATGTATACGCTAGCGGATCGAATCGAGTGCTCGAGCGAGGGATTACGGGAGCTTTGCTTCGCCTGCCGCTAGGCAAACCGGACACCTCGAAAACAATCTGAAGGTCACGAGATTTGCGTTGTGATCCTTCGACACGAGGTGCCGCTGCTGGTCGATCCGAATCCATGTAAACTTATTGGTTGAAGTGGATCCGATTCGCTAACTGGATCCGATGCGCTGCTGTCGTATCCATGTAAACGTAGCCATTGACCTCGTGGGCCACTGTGGGATTCCTGGAAGGCCAAGTGGCTGGTCTTCTTCCCACGTCGGCGGGCCTATTGAAAGGTCGCTGACCAGCACTCTCGTCTCGCCGCCGCCGCTTGTCCTTGAGCTTTCGGGAGCCCAATGGGTTCTTGGAACGTAGAAATGCCTGGACGTTTTCCTACGTCTGCTGGCTTCTTGGAAGGTCGCTTGGACGCCTGTCGGTCTCCAAGACGGCGTTCGTTACAGGCCCAAGCCCAACGCCGAGCGTCCTCTGACGCATTGATTGGTCACGAGGTACCATCGAGCGCTGCCGTAGAACTCATGTTCGATCTGTGTCTGCTATCGACCTCACTGTGCAGGACTCCAAAATGTTGATGCACGGGCTTTGATGATTTTATTGAGCGGTGCCTCAGATGGCTCAGAGATGCCCACAATGACGTTATGACGCCTTTCACCGATAATAGATGGCAGAGTGATTCCCCGCCTAGACGTTCACCATTATTTTAGTTTGTTGTTATTAAAGGATGTTTACGCGTAATTCTGCCGAATTATAGTTCAATAACCAAGTTCAAAAGACATAAAAAGGCTCCAGAAAGCCTTTTGAAGCTAGAATTGGGTTGCTAAGAACGAAAACAAACATGGTTAAATTCCAGAAATAGACAATGCAACCGCGAAAGGGAAACTAAAGAACATGTCATTTTAGGGTGTATGGGGCCTTTACCCACCCTTTTGGGGGTGATAACTACGGATTTGATGGGGCACTGGGATCTACAGACATGGATGCACGAGCGAATAGGGAAAGAATTGTTGTAACTTAGTGGAGATGGGAATATCGGTGGAAAAAATCTAGGGAAAGGTAAAAATACAGATAAAAATAAGCAATGGGAATGCTTTAAAAGGGAGGGGGTGTTTAGGAACAAAATTTGTACAAATTTCAGAAAGAAGGGATGACGAAATGTTAAGCTAGGTGGCGCAAGCTGTCACCCGTTACAAAGGGTATAGCCATTACTATCCATCCAGCCGCTTCTAACTAAATCATTTTTTCTCAGCTCTTTAGTTTCTCTTCAAGAACCACATATGCGGCGAACAGCCGAAAAATACTTTACTTACATCCCAAGAAGCGATTATACGGCGAACAACCGATGATCTTTGCCCAGTGGTACGTGCGCCCTTCGGCACCGAGCAACTCTCACTTTTCTAGGGCTACGCACGCAGCGAGCACCATCATTTACCGTATATACTCTGTCTCAGGAGTTGTGTGCAGCAAAGTCACAGGTGCGAGCGCTTGCCTTTCAGATTTGCCTTCCTTTCACGAGCACTCGTGGAAAGAAAGCAAATCTAAAAGCCATGTGCCCGCGCCGATGCCTTTACCTTTGCCTTTGCTGCGCTCAACTCCTGAGACGGGGTAGAGGGAGTATTCATTGGCGGGCAATAGCTCTGTGGGCAACTGATGAGCGCGTGCTGACAGCGAGCTTCCACGGTTGTTTTGTAACGTGCATTCCGCACCATCAAGATCGCGGTTTTAGCAGCCTATGAGTGTGAGCTCGTTCTGAGCATACGCTCATAACATCCCTTCAAATTTGGCGTCCAGTGAATACCTTCTGTTCGCTTCATGAACTCCAGCCTGCTAGAGCAAGTCAGAAAGCTGTTTTAAGAAGGAGGCAAAAATGAACGCGTCAAGCGTGTTCCTCGTCCCACAGCGTGTATGTGAAATTTGAAGCCACCATCAAATCTTGAATATTTAAAGGAGCGGTGCAACGATGCTCAATTGGAATCTTTTTCACTTTACACGAGCTTACTGGCACTAGTGGGACTCGAGGATCCTCGCACGCAACGCCACTGGCCAAGAAACTTAATTGTTGCGGTGTAATTTCAAGGACAAAAACAATCATTTTCATTAAATCTCTCCTTTGCAAAAGTCGGCAGATCAGTGACGATATAATTTTTTTTTTCTGGGACCATTATGATTTTAGAATTAAAAAATAATTATGCTTGCAGTATATACTAAAAAATTACTCGTACTAAACTATACGGAGCTTTTAAATATATAGTTTATTGCGCAAAGAACTGAAAAAAGTCATAACGCTTAAGGCAAAATTTATTAGAGTGGCATTTTATTTTAAAAAGGAAAATATTTTTTTTAAAGTGCGCAGAGCTTTGTATCAGACCTTCTAAACAAGAAGGCGGCTAAAAAGATTGGGCAACGCTTGCCGAACAAAAATTTACGGCGCAAACGAGCTGGTGAAGGTTTTAGATAATTTTGAGACAAACCCTCGAGACTGGGAAAAGACGCAGGACAACACAGCACACGGTGTTGTGGTATCCTTCGTCTTACCCCCAGTCTCGGGGGTTTGTCTAAAATTATGGCAATGCTTAGAAATGTTTGAAAACTTCAAAATTCAAAACGGCCCAAAGGACCAGAGTCCACATGATGATCGCCAGAGACACAGCGCTGACTTGCAACTAAATTTTACTGAACTGAACACCGCCATATACGTATATGTAATATAATGTACATTACGAAAGGTACTCCATTTAAAAAAAAAAACATGAACACATGTTTACACTGTGTACAAGTCGTATTTCATTTGTGCATGTTCTTTTTTCTACAAACAGGAAGCATGTGCACCCCTGCACGCCGCCTTGGTGTTCCAATCATTCCTGTAAACCTTCTGTGAAAATATCAAATTATCAAAGAAAAAAAAAACTTTCGTTGTATGTCACAAAAAAACTATTTGCATTTTGTCGCATTTTTTTACCGAAAACAAATTACCACCTTCCCGGGGAGAAAAGACAAATACTCAGATTTTGGCAAGTTTATATTTTCCCCTGAACAATGCCTAAAATCCCTAGATATAGGGGACAATTCCTTGGGTTGACAGCACTGCTTTTCTGAAGCCCTTCCCGGTGGCATCTTTTACACCCAAAGTCCGGTATAGATACCGTTAGTCAGCAGTCATCTCGCATGTCACGTAGGGAAGGGCGAGGAGGAGCATCGCAACCGGGAAAGGTCACTGCCCCTCTGTCGGGTCATCAACCCAGCATATCTGTCTTTTTGGTTTGGGCTTTATCGTACTGTAAGTGACATGACTGCCATACGACGAAAAGAACGTGCCTCAAACTGTGTGTGCGGTATGTCTTTTCTATAATGTGTTAGCGGTGTCAGCGCGCCTTTAGATGTTTCACGAAAAAACGTTCATTTCCTCTTTCATGCTGCTGTTTGCATTTTACTCAGGTATACCTGGTCGAAAAGGGCAGCCCAAACATCCGGTACGAGTACTGGATCCCTAAGGAGGGCGGTGGTCACCGCGACGTCACCACTGACCTCACCAATACCGATGTCGCCGTACTCCGGGATGGTGACGTGGCAAGGACCCGCCCGCCGTCCAGTGAATTCTTCCGAAGGGCGCAGTTGTCGGTGTCCTCACCTAGCGACAACCGAATACCGCTCTCCGTCTACCAGCCCGGACGGTATGCCGAGGCTTTGCCGTCACGGCCAGGAAATGACGTCATTGAGGTCCCGGACAGAAAGGACTTCGGCGGTGGCACATTCCATGGCAATGAAGGTACGAAGACTAACGAAGCCCATAATGGCTCTTAAACATTTCTTTATTTTTAATGCGAAAGCATTAACTGTCTCATGGAGCGAGCTGACACCATCAGCTCGCCAAACGGCAGATAAATTCCCGAAGCCGCGAACTGAGGCCTGCCAGCTTTGAAACCGCGCAGAAAGCCACGCAAAACGGCAGTGATATGAAGCCGCCGCGCGTCAGTTCCAATTAGCGCCACCCCATGGCGCTGCGTGCCCGCGCCGAGAGGATCAGAAGCGGCCGCGGCGCGAAGAACGACATTCATGCTTTCGCATTCGCAACTCATAAGAAGTGCTTAGGTCTACCTACAGCCCTTTTTTAACACAGACCAATAATTGTGTAAATTTGTCCGCGGACCATTTGGTCATTTTCCCACTAGACTTAGCGGGAAATTTACGTCACCTAACGTCAGGGTATAGCGCGACACCACGACGGCACAATGACCTAAATTTCCCCATTAAATTTGACGGCGGAAATTCATAAACGAGATATTTTTGTTTGCTCCCTGAAACGAATGTTTAATATCTTCGGAATAGAGTGAAACAACCGCTCCTTGTGCCCGATTCACACGATCGACCGAATCGCGATTTTCGTCCGCCGACCAAGTACCACGTGATCGTCACCTTACCTATTCCTGCGATCCGCTCCTCGTCCACGGGTGCGCGGTCTCACAGAGTCGACCGCCTTTTCACTCGCGGATTTTTGGCGGGAGATTAACGTGAAAGCGTTTCCTATGGCAACAATACAATGTTTTCTCGTTTTTTTTTTGTTATTCGACGAATGATGATGATGATGATTAACCTTATTTTCATGAGGGTGGCGCTGTGGCCTCATTAGGAGAAGGGGAAAATAGGGAGGAAAAGTTTACATTCGGCGGTGTACTCCTGTCGAGCGCGCGAACTCCCATAGGGAGAGTAGCGTCTCCGTGGCCCGTGCCTCGTTAACCGGTGCGATCCAGGCCTCTAAAGTGTAGATGGGGGGCCCAAAAAACAGAAATGGCACATCATTGTGTTTTGTGCGTTCACTGTTTCATGTTGGCGCGCGATTCTTAAATCCACGAGTGAAAGAAACTGCAGAAACTTTGTCCGGCTGACGCGACGCAGGTTCCGGTACTCCTCCGGGTCCGTGTCAAGAAGCTTCCGTCGAAATTCGTGTAGCACGCCACGATGACTCTTGCACGTCGAATCAGCCTTTTATCGAGCAAGACCTTTCATGTGGCTGTGGTGTAGCTTAATGTGATGCACGAGCGGGGAGAGCGTGAAGGAATCTCCAAATGCCCCTCCGCGAGCCTAGAACTTCGTCGGTTCTACGCCGAAGCCTTCTCGGGCAGGGCCGTACCTGTGTCGCTGTCATGTCTTGGATTAGTAAAGCTAGTGGCGCTTCGCGCCAAGCCTATCCCGGTGTTTTGTCTCAATCTCTGCGTAATAGCGGCGTACGATTCTTTGTCGCAGTAGCAAACGTCGATCCCTCTCTTCGACAACGGTTGAAGTTTCGCGACAAAGTGGAATGGCGAACAGGTTCGGTCTGCCCTTGTTGCCGTCTGTTTGTCGTGTCCCTCGCATGAATGCGCTGGGGAGGCGGACGAACCGCGGACATACGTCACGTCATCAATCCGTCCGCGGATCAGTTCGTTGTGTGAATCGGCCATTAAATGTTGCGATTTGTGCATTATTGAAGTTGGTAGATAAGTGTGGCTGCTGCTTTTAACTAATATATTTCGATTGTACTTTCTATTTCCTTCTGCTTCCTTGTCAGAAGAAAACAGAAGTACATTAAATGTTCAATTTTGTTAAATTTTTAATTTTTCAAAAAAAATTGCCAGAATGTTGTAGTTGCACCAACGCTGTATCTTCCTCTAGCGTAGATGACTTAAAAATTTTGCGCTCATGAGCAGGAAAGAACTAGCCTTAAATTCGCGGTAAACTTGAACGCCTTCGTGAACATAACTGGTATTAGCGATCAATTTCAAGTGGAGCTTGTTACTGTAACCCAGTATGTAAGGATTATGCGTATTAAATCTTAGAGCTATCTCTGAATGTGATTAAAAAATCGGCACGCGCACGTAGCGAGCCTGGCTTGTCTCGAGCACCATCATCTAGGTTGGGGAGATTTCGTAGTTTTTAATAATTTTAATTACGATGACATTATTACGGTGACGAACAGCTTCGTAAAACACGAGTGCGCGCCGTTCTTGCTCGGTTGATTCTGACATATCAATGCCGCGCGCAGGGCTCAGCAAGCAGCGCCAGTCACGGAATTCTAGAAGATTCGCGTTTATTCTTACTCGGAGCATCATTTCTATATTTTCGCCCTATTTTCTTGTTTTTGAAAGTGCCTGTTCATTCTCATCCCGAACGCTCTGTGCCCCAACCTTCTTGACCGAATTTTCGCGATGCCGGCGCACACTAGATAAGGAGCGGCCCGCGACCTTGTCGAGTAATCGCTCGTTCACACTTGCGATATACGCACTTGCCGCCGACTGAATTCGCTCGCCGAAAAAATATGGGGCGGTTCACATTTGTTGCCGCCTGCGAAGTGTGCGGTGCGAGCGTCTCGCAGTTTCCCGAACAGACGAGAGCTGACGAAAGCTCCCGAACCTCCGCCTTGCCCGCGCGCGTCTCGTCGCCATCGTCGCCAGGTCGTCAGCGGGGATCTGACGTCATCAAGCGCCACCTCCCCCGAGCGTTCTGAATGGCTAGCGGCGAGAGAAAACTTTTTTCCGGCGTTCGAAATCGGTCTCAGAGCGATATTGCTCTCCGCCAGAAATTCTGCCCACTTTCATCGCCGGGCGTCAGAATTCTCGCCGATCCGGCCGCCGGTTCCCAAGTGTGAACGAGGCATAAGTCTCGCTCTCGCTTGCTATTTCGCCGCCCAATCGCCGCCCGCTTTTCTGCTGCCTTGAAGCTCGTTCTTTATTTTATTTGCCACAACTTCGCCGATTAACGTTTACTTTTAGTTCACTGTTCATCCTCTCGTCACCTTCATTCGTGACAATAATTCACTCATAAGGTGACAACAGCAAGGAGGAGTTTTAGTTGTCCAGCCTCCAGTGCTAGCTTCCTACCTCCGACAACGCTTCGGCGTATCGCGTGACTTGATCGCGCGTGCGCAGTGATAGCACGGTGGAAGGCTGGAGCTGGGCGTTCTCGCTCTGTCAATTACTATAGCATCTGTCACCGCTCCTGTTCCCCCACTGATTGCCATCAAATATCGATCTATCTATATATACAGACCCACAAAAGAAAATGTACAGCTTTTTTTTTTTTTACCGCAATAATAAACTAGGCATCGCCTAACGCTCAGTCTTCGTCCGAAGGTAGATCTAGAGGTCACAACCAGGTGCCAAAGTTTCAGCCCGATCCGATAACTTAATCAAAAGTTATAAGTGATTTTCTGAAAGTTTCAATGGGAAAATGGAGCCCATTTTTGCCCGTTTTCAGTTTCTGGTGCCATAGAGTTCCATGTATACGAAAACTCCGTCGGCCGCCATTTTCCCATTAAACTTTTGAGAAAATCACTTATAACTTTTGAATAATGTATCGGATCTGGCTGAAACTTTGGCATCTCCTTGTGACCTCTAGCTCTACCTTTAGGCGGAGAATGAGCGGTCGACGATGCCTAGTTTATTTTTGCGGTAAAAAAAACGTGTAAATTTTCTTTTGTGACACCCTGTATATACATAATTATCAATCTAACAAGTGTTAAAAGCGCGGGGGTAATTAATATGTTCAGTTGACGCCTCCATGATTCTCCACGATTCTTTTTCATGTTAGATTTTAGATACCATTTTGTGATCCTCACAACGTGAAGCTAACTATAGGGAGTATTCACTGGCGGCCATAGCTGTATGCCTAAATGCTGAGCGCGTGATTATGACGAGCTTCCACAGCTCTTTTGAAACGTGCATTCCGCACCATCGAGAGTGCCTGTCTTAGCAGCTTGTTCTGAGCATGCGCTCTAAACAACACCCACAAATATGGCGTCCAGTGAGTACTCCCTATACTCTGTTCACCCTTAAAGGCGGCCATGAGCTGATTTTCAACTTCTTCCTCCTTAGCTTCCCTCCTCAATTCAAAAGAAAGACGAGAAATCTCGTGGTCGTACGTGCTTGGGCACCGTTGCGATGACTCCTAGCTTCCACCGTGCTTTTTAAGCACACCGTGGAGTTTGTAATTCAATATTGATGGTAAGTGCCGTCACGGCACTCATTGGCCACGAACGCGCATCCGTCGACGGATTGATTGTTGACAAGCGCATACGTCCGAGTGACCCAGTGCTTCTGTCCAGTGCGTTTGCTGGCGCCGACTGATGTCTTTTGCATACAGCGGACGTATTACATTGAAAAGGCGGAAAGCTTTCAAAGGAAAGAAAATACGAAATGGTCCGCTATCTTTTTTTTTAATTTTTCTTCCAAAATACATGTTTTTGACTTTCTACCCTCCTTCTTTTGGCCCACTAAACGATATGTGGTTAGTAAGATTCCTATGTAGAATTATTTTTCCCAGTTCAAAATTTATTTAATTTCCCATTTATAGACGATTGCAACCAGTGCATCTGGCAGCCGCCATGTACCTGCTCGTGCTGGAAAGTGCGTGCATTCACAAGCTTGCCAATGCTACGTTCACGCGCACGCTGCACGTGCTCGCACGCATGGGGCACCAGTGGGGCTCCATGATTCCAATCGTCTATAAAGGGTCCATAAAGCGCGATCCAAACCAACGCTTCTTTTTGCGCCTGTAGGTCGTGCGGCTGCGGATGTGACGCATTTCGTGGCGTTTTTGCTGTTTCCGGGCGCGCTTTCTGAGTCAGAACCGTGCGCTTTGGTTTGGACGGGCGAAACTTCGGGCGAGCGCGCACGCGCGCACGCAGGCACGAGCGCACAAGCGAAGTGCAACTGCGACAGACTGGCCGGCCAGACGGCGAGAGAAAGAGAGAGAGAGAGAGATCGTGTTGTCATGTTGGAAAAGAATAAAAGGGGGGGAGGAGAGGGCAGCCAGACGGCGAGAAACGCGGGGCCGGAACTAGCTTGCCCTCCACCGATTGGCCGGGACACAGGCGCGCCCTGCTACGTCACCGCGCGTTTTTGTGCGCGTCCAAAGAGAAGTTGAAATCAACCAACTTTTTTATGCGCGCCCGGAAGGAGCGAAGAAGCGGCGCGACGTCACGAAAATACGTCACATCCGCAGCCGCACGACCTACAGGCGCAAAAAGAAGCGTTGGTTTGGATCGCGCTTAAACGATACTTTAACTTCTTCCTCCTTAGCTGTCTCTAATCCTCAGCTCAAAAGGGAATTGAGATATCAAGCGGTCGTGACATGCTTGGGCGCCGGTCCGATAAATCCCAACTTCCATCGTGCTTTTTGATCACACCATACGACTTGTCATTCGCAAGTGTCATACGCAACTTTCGAAAGGGAACTCATTTGCCGCGAACGCGAATTTAAATATTCGTCGGCAGATTAATCGCAGTCGAGCGCATACGTCTGTGTGACGCAGTGCATGGCTGTGTTCTAAATCTTACCCAAATTGATTCGAGTTACTCCGGCGGGTCATGTCACGTGATAACACAGATTAGAAAAACGCTGGACACGGGTAGGTTTTAGAACGCCGAGGGTACAAAACCCTTACCCTGGAGCAAGATCGAGTAAATTTTGGAACACGACCCTCGTGTCGAACGCGGCTCCCTCGCTCGGCTGGGGAGCTTCCGTTTCCGGCAGAAAGGCATGCGTAACGTCACAGTCGCTGATTTCACACGTTGGTGGCCGAGTCTCGTCGAATCGAAAGAAAAAGCAAATGTGAGATTTTATATTCTTTTTTTTTTTTTTTTTGCGCGAAACTGCAGGCAGTAGTACGGAAAGGGGATTTTTGCTCCGGGTTTATGAACTTGGAATATTAATTGGGGTCTTAATTTGCAAACAGCTGAAAAATCATTTCATGGTCGCTTTAGGATGAACGGAGTGTAGCAAACTAAACCTACAAAAGTTTTACTTAGGATTACATCTTCCTCTGTTTTTTTGTTTTTTTTTTTCAGAAACGAAACGCAGAACGAAGAAGGTGAAACCAAAGAAAGGTAAAAGTCACTGGCATTTCGTTTATTTCATGGGAATATTTTGTCCTACTTTAAAGCTTCGGACGCGCCATGACATTATAAGATAAAGTGTTTTGCTAGTTATCTTGTGTTTTACCTTGAACGACCTCAAGTACGTATTTCTGTTGTTCCAAACGCACATTCGCACATTTGCTAAAAAAATAGAAAAAAAAGTCGTTTACCACTCTCTGTAACGCCGAATTGGAGCGCAGCTCTTGAGGAGGAGGAGGGGAGGGTACTGAGGGCCACGTGTTCTCGGGGGGGGGGGGCGGGGGTCACGTGACCCCCCCCGAGGGCACGTGACCTTGGTGGGGTCACGTGGGTGCAAACACGTGCCCCCTCAGAGGTCACGTGACCTCGGGAGGGGGTCACGTGTTTGCCCCCACGTGACCCCCCGGGTCACGTGACCAAAATTTTTCCGCTAGATTTAGCGGGGAAATTTTTTCCGCTAGATTTAGCGGGGAAAGTTTTCCGCTAGATTTAGCGGGGAAATTTTTTCCGCTAGATTTAGCGGGGAAATTTTTCCGCTAGATTTAGCGGGGAAATTTTTTCCGCTAGATTTAGCGGGGAAATTTTTTCCGCTAGATTTAGCGGGGAAATTTTTTCCGCTAGATTTGACGGGGAAATTTTTTCCGCTAGATTTAGCGGGGAAATTTTTTCCGCTAGATTTAGCGGGGAAATTTTTTCCGCTAGATTTAGCGGGGAAATTTTTTCCGCTAGATTTAGCGGGGAAATTTTTTCCGCTAGATTTAGCGGGGAAATTTTTCCGCTAGATTTAGCGGGGAAATTTTTTCCGCTAGATTTAGCGGGGAAATTTTTTCCGCTAGATTTAGCGGGGAAATTGTGTCCGCTAGATTTAGCGGGGAAATTTTTTCCGCTAGATTTAGCGGGGAAATTTTTTCCGCTAGATTTAGCGGGGAAATTTTCCGCTAGATTTAGCGGGGAAATTTACCCATAATGCACCGCGCGGTTACGCCGACGGCGACGGCGACGGCGACGGCGACGGCGACGCCGCTCAAGCCGGAAACGGGCGCCTAAGAGCTGCGCTCTAAAGCGTCTATTTTTTTATAAGTACCCTTTAGTCATTTATGTGTAGACGTATTCGTGTTACTGAAAAAAACTAACTGAATACTGTTACTTGGTCCTCGCTTTGAACAGTTACGTTACGATAGTTCCTGGGATTCAAAAAGAAGCCATTACATCAGCTCAAAAGTAACTAGCGGCTTTCTCGTTACTCTGCAAGAACCGTTCATTTGAAGCGGTAGCCGCTTTCCAATATTATGAGTCGTTAATAATACCTATGTGTTTACCGCATTTATGGACATCTATTTTGTCCTATACTTGTTGGCGCCTTTTTGCCGTGAGTCACAGCCACAAACTGGGGCTAAATCCTCAATACCGTCAATCGTAACTCTGTCAAAAATTGTCGATTACTCATTGCGTCCAGAAAGGGGCAGTGTTTCAAATACTAGTATTTGAAGTTTGAAGTTTGTTTTGGTTTCGGACAGGCCAGGCCCGCTAGCGGGGCCTGGCCTGTCAGAAACCAAAACCTTTCTGCCTGCCTTTCTGACAAAAGGCATTTCCCCCACAGTTCATAACAGCAAAACTGCATTAGTTGCAATATATGCGTAAATAAAGTAAGCAAAATACATATATCTACATAGCAGCAAACATGCACACTTTTTACACAAAATCGTAGAAATTATTTAAAAAATATAAACAAGGATAAATCTGTCTTCAGATGAATATAATATTACAAGAAGTAAGAAAACAAGTCACAAAACTTTGTAAAATTCTAAACCTAGCTAGATAATGCCACACAAAGAGGACTATCATTCAGACATGTACAAATTACTCAAAAAAGGTAGTTAAGTTAAGTTACTGAGTATTGACGCCAAAAGTAATTGGAGTAGAGTAGAAATTACGGATTTGTAATAGTAATTGAGTAAACTACTAACTACTCTAAAAAGTAGCGAGTTACTTTCAAGTTACTTTCGAAGTTACTTTTTATATTTTTGTGGTAGCAAAATGAACAGCAGTTTTTATAAATGAAAAACCCTGCGAGCCTAAAATAAATGCAGTCTATTTATAGCTTGCGTTTTCGCCAAAATAGTTTATTCGCTCGCAGAAGCAATTGACTTTCAAATTTCTTAATAGGAGAGTTTTCCCCTTTTCCTTTTAAAAACGTCCCCAGACAAGCTAAATAGACGTTCCACCGTGGCACTGAATGGAGCGGCAGCGTTGAATTTGAGAAACAGGTTTGCCTCGGGTAGAGGGTCTTTTATAACAACCTTTCCTTTTTTTCTTTTTTTTTCTTCGTCAAGTTGAGATTGTTATGACTGGCCCCTCTTTATTCCGAGGTCGTTCTGAGAGTACGCTGAGCTAGTGCACCAGAACGTCAAGGGTTCAAGTCTCGCGCCACGACGATGAGATCATCCGGACGACTGCGCGTCCCGTTGTAGTGCTAGTGCTACGCTACTGAAAAAAGAAATGTTTTGGTCTAACAGAAGATGAACCGAAGTATAGACCTTTTCTGTGTACTCTCCTCCACAGCCATCTAATAGGCGTATCCGGTATGGGCGACGAAAAAATAATCCAACGTTTCAACTTGCAAATAGTAAAAAAATAAAGAGGAGGCAAAACGAGAAAGTGTGACGGTTACGCTTACATCCTAAATCCCTTCTCTTGGCGTAGCAAAGGCAAAACAATGTTTTCGCCCATACTGGAAGTGGCGTCAATTCAAGATGGCGGCGCACTTGCAGAAAAGGTCTATACTTCGCCGCTGACGCCGGGTTCAACAAAAGGATCTCCCAAGGGTAACTCGCAATCCTCGCCGGCGACTACAATATTCTGACGCGCCTGACACGCCTGACAAGTAAATCGTTTTTAACAAAGAGGAGGTCTCCCTGGGCGTGGATGGTCGGAAGGACACGAAGGATTACGTGAACAAGCATCGTCGCTCGTATACAGTTGCAGGTGGAAGCGGGAACGTGCTTCCATGAACGGATTATCCGTGCCAGGGTTTCTGCGCGGGGGAGTCCGGCTTTGCAAAGGCGTATGCGCTGACGACAGGGCGACCATGGGAACAGGCGCCCAGCTGCGAGGTCATTCCAGTGGCGCCTCCCGTGGAACCTACCGCTTGAGTCAGAACTCTCTAAAGACAGACAACAACTCTCGGAGTGTCCCCGTCTTTCACGGTTGCAGCTGGAAACGCGGCGCCTGCGTGCATTACCGGATTAGGTCAATACCCGACCAAGAAGCATCTCTTCCTGCATTAGTGCGTGCCGGTGTTATGTTTTGGCTGCTCGTCGCCACCTTGACCCAAGGACGCCTTCCCGAACAAGGGGGCCCCATTTTAGGGAATGCCTCTTTATCTGTCGGCGTCTTATTCATTTCTGCGCTCAAACTTCCGTGATGGGCAAAATTAGCACTATATAATTTCGAAAGTAGTTAGTAATTTGAGTAGAAGTTACCTGAAAAAAGTAGTTAAATTAAACTACTAATTACCCAAATCAAATTGTAATTGAAAGTTACCAAGTTACTCAAAAAAGTAGTTAAACTACAGTAGTTTGAGTAGAGTAGTTGAACTACGTCCAAGTCTGCTATCATTCATACGACATTGATTAGTAATCACTGACGTATAATCACAAAACGACGAAAGGAGCAAAACAATCACAAAAGATATCTAAACAAAAAGTTACAGCCATGTAACAAACACATTTGTCATTGCAGCACTGGTAGGCGCAAAAACGAAACAATTTCTATTTGTTTTTTGAATCTGTTCCACCCACCATACCAAACTTTTACCAACTCGCCCCGTTCAACACCTTGTTACTAGGCGTAATATATATCGTTTTATGCAAGGGTCTGTCTGATGTTGCTTTTATATTTATTAAATGATACTGTAAAATCAGTACGCCATTCAAAAATGCTTAGTAACGTAGGAACCTGATAATTTAGTTTTTGTTTCCCATAATTTGTCCTGACCTTAGGAGTCTTGTGTTTGGCGTTTCTAAGAAGATAAGACTGCGATGGCACTTCATTCATTTGATGAAGTTTTTCTTTGTATATTGTCTGCCTAAGTTTAAAGTAATAAATCTGGTTCGCTTTATGCATGTTATGTTTTGTAAAATATAGACTGCTATAAAAATCACGAACATTTCCTTCGTAGTTTTCTAAAACGTGCAAAACCTTTTTTTGGAGAATAATTAACTTGCTATAATTTGTGGAAGTGGGTGTCCCACCATGCCATAATTCCATAACAAAGTTTTCAGTAAAACAAAGAGTAATATAAGTTTTTGATAAGCCACTTTGGTAATAAATTTTCTATTTTATATATACAGCCTAGTGTTCTCGATAGGTCCCCTTTTAATTTGTTCACGTGAGTGTTCCAAGTAATTCTTTCATGAAACCAGACGCCAAGAAACTTTGGTTTTGTAGCCTGATATAGAGGGGTGCTATTATATTGCAGATTTATTACACTATTGTCGTGCTTATTAATAGGTCCAAATATAATGTACTTTGTATTGTCCACATTTAGCTTAAGCGTGTTTGTTTCCAGCCATTCTGAAAGTTTTTGAAGATAATCATTTGCCTGTTGTTCTAAGAACGCTTTTGTATTGCTGCAGACGAAAACATCGGTATCGTCAGCGTACATCACCATATGTGGGGGATCTGGGATGTCTGTTATATCATTTGTATATATGAGAAAAGGTAGTGGGCCCAGTATGGAGCCCTGGGGCACTCCATGTTTAATTTCCAATTGCTGAGAATTGGCGTTATTGACATGTACAAACTGTTTACAATTTCGGAAGTATCACTTGATTAGTTCAGACGCTACGCCACGTACACAACAAGTCTGAAGTTTTGACAGTAAAATATTGTGTTGTATCAAATCAAACGCCTTGCTCAAATCTAGAAATAACCCGAGTGTATATAATTTATTTTCGATGTTGGTTATTATTCTGTCTTTTATATTCGTAAGACTAAGTTCAGTCGATTTGTCCCATTGAAAACCTTATTGGGACCTAGAGATTACATTGTATTTTGAGAAAAAAAAACCTTTGCAATCTAACGTTTATCACGCTTTCAAATATTTTTGAGAATATTGGCAAAACAGATATTGGTCGGTATTTTTCCAGGTCATTATTGTTTCCCTCTTTATGCACCGCACTAACCCTTGCGACTTTGAGTTCGTCTGGATATATTCCTGTTTGCAACATGTTGTTTATAATATGTGCCAGGATTGGGCTTATTATATTTGACACCATTTTAACTGGCAAGGCTTTTATTTCGTCAGCCCCAGCCGGTACACTTCTCTTTTTATTTTTTTATCAAATTACTAACTTCGCATGGGGAAGTAGGCTCGAGCATTATAGAGCTTGAGATATTTGTAGTTTTATTTGTGGTACGGCTTTTGCTGTCACCTTCCCTTTCTCGCGGAGCACCCACGTTTATTAAATGCTCATTCAGGGTGTTTGCAAGTTCCTCACCAGCTATGTTTCTACCGTTTATAGTTATGTTATTCACACCACACCGGACATAGCCTTCATTTGTTAAGCTATTAACCGGTTCCCACAGTTCCTTCGGATTATTTTAAATACCATCAAATTTGCTCAAAAAGTATTCAAATTTTGCCCTTTTAAGGTCGAAACTAAGCTTATTTCAGATTATTTTTATTCACTCAGCAGCGCTTTATCACGCGACCGCACAAAACAATTGTAGATGTTATTTTTCATTCTAATTCTCTTGTATAGGTCGTCATCCAACCATGGCTTACGGAGTTTGGGTTTTGACGTTTTTCCTAGCAATATAGGGAATGCACAATCATATAACTAAGCAGTTGTTTGCTTTGTCGTGTTAGGTGCTCATTGACGAACACAGGCTTCGTCGTCCTAGCCAAAATGTAACCAAGGGCTGCAGCAGTAAGCTGCTTTTTTTTTTAATTGATAAGTACAGCATTTCTCTTCCTGCGTTGTATGAAGCACACGACGTTGTTTTGCTCGCTTGGTTTAGATGTTGGTACCCTATGGCAGATATCTGCCTGAATTTGTAATTGGCTCCTCCAGTACGTCACCAATCATTTTGATGACGTCATAAGGATTGCCCTCTTCAGGCACTCCTTTAATCTCGAGGTTATTGGAGCGTTGGTATTGCTCTAATTCCTCGATCCGCTGACTCAGTATTTTATTTTCATTTTGCAGCTCACAGTTTCTCTTTGTCAGTTCCTGGATTTCCTTCCTTAGTTGTTTTACGTCGCTTCCAATCGACTCAACTTTGTCGCAAGTGTCGCTGCAGACCTTCGTACTTTCCTTTAAACTTCGTAGGTCGGCTCTTAATTCGCGACGAAGCTCGTCGAGCGCCTTTGCATACTCCCTAGATTCTTTAGCTTCTTTACCGTCCTTAGTCATGATGGCCAGACAGACACGGGAAATACACAGTAAGCTGTGTTCGGCAGCTGTGCGTACAAACAAACGCATACGCATTCTAAATATTTTAGCATTTTGTATTTTTTATTTAATTGCATATTGGGCAATGTATTTGTCAACTCTCCTTAAAATTCAGTATTTTAAACACATGTATTCTAAATAAAGCCCCTAATACAATTTAGTGCGCTGCTCTTCGCAATAAGATGGGATTATAAGGACTCTTCGCGAAGGGAGTCATATGCAAAGACACATGAAACTTGCGGCACTTTGCGCAGAATTAAATTTGGAGAAAAAAAAAGGAAGCGTAGAACAATGAATTCATGGAATGAGTACAATGATTGCCTTTTTTGTTCTGTGATTTTATTTTTTAAACATGTAGAACTATCTACATGTTCTTTTTGAAAAGCTTCGATGCATCAACTAAGACTTTTTAATTAATCTTTCACGGAGCACATTGTTTTCCCTCTTTTGCATCTGCCTATAAAGTTATGACAAACACATTTTATATTTAGAGCTGCAAGACTTTTTCTAAGCACTTTTTTCTTAGTCTATGTGAACTCCACTTTTTATTTTGGCATGACCTTTATAACCTGGTTTCAATTGAAATGTATTTTCTGAAAAGAGTATTGAAATCTGCAAGTAAATATATTTTTGCCAAAGTATTTCGTATATGTAGTTAAATACATTTTTCAAGTATTCTGCTCATTCCTGATCTCTTTTCTCGAAACGTAACTAGTCTGCGTACGGGTAGCTAACACGTACGAGCCGAACCTGATGGGAAGCCCGTGTTTCTATTTTTCTTCAGGTCGCTGTCCAATCTGTCACCGGGCCAGAAACCAAAGAAGGCACTTCTGCAAGAGCGACATTGGTGAGAACATCAACGTGTTTCAAATTAAAAAAAAAAATTTTCTGCAACGTTATTCTGTCCGGAAAAACACTTCTCTGGCTACTTTTGAATGGACGCGAAACGAGCCGCGTCAAATCTTAGCGGACCAATCATGCACACCCAACCCTCCTCTTTTCTTCTTCTACCCCATCATCATCTCCAAATCTCGATGCCACGTAAATCCAGCGTCTGACTGGTGCGTTCACCGTTTCATGCACCAACAGGCTGTTTTCAAACGAGCCCCGCGTTCGCCAACACCAGGGTGTCGGGAGTGCGCATGGGCAGAAACCACACTCCCGGGAAGCGTCCGCGCATGCGCAGTGCCGACGGCAGCGTCACTGCAGTTGTCGTGACGTCAGAGATTTTTGTTGGTGCATACGGCCAACAAGGAGACCAAAACCGACATTCTCAGAAAAGAAGGCCGAAGTGGAGGTTTTCCACGCCATTACCGCTGGTCAACACGCAGCACTGAATAGAGAAAAGTGTTGTGTCAACATTCGGTTTAAATTTGCGTTCAACCCGTTTAAATGGCGAGTCCCGCCCGAACACTGACAGAGCACATAAAGGGGCAGTTCAACGGTTTTAATGTTCAAAACGTTGCCAGTTTGCATTTTTTATTTTGTTCATACAAGCCCAAGTGAACAAAAACGCGTCACCTTTCCCCAAAAAACGGCTATTCTGCTGCGTAATCTCCAGGCAAAAACGAATTATTTGCCGATCTGCAGCCGCCGGTGGCGGCTATGGGAACTAAAATGACGGCGTCTCAGGGGGATACGCGGAAGTCAAGAAACCCTGTCCCCCTCCGCTGCTACACTCGCCGTCCGCCCCGCGGCGAACCGTCCTTTGTGTCCATCGCTCGCCGCGACCTTCGACGAGGCTAATGCTTTGAAAGTCGACAATCGCGGAAGAAACGGCTGAGGTCTCTGAAGAGAGGGCCCAAGGGGAAACCACGTGAACCCCCAGAGATGTCACTCGAAAGTCGGCGTGGAGAGTTGAGAGGCACGTCGACCTTCGATTTGTTTCAATTATTTTGAATAAGAACTAGCGCTCGCAAGAAAATGCGGCTTACGGTTTTTCGTTCCATAGGTGACGCAGTTTAATTTCCGCAGTTAATTGGCCAAAGTTTGAAAATCGTTGCACTGCCCCTTTATGTGCAATCTGTGCATCGCGCTGGCTTCCGATAGGTGGCGTTGACAACCCAGCAGTACAGATTCCGCGAGTTAACTTTCCCGTAGAACAAAAAGGAAGTTAAGCACGGCAAAATATGGAAGGATGCCAGCGAATGATGAGACTGAGATTATAACTAGGCCACATAAAAAAGCAATGCAGTGTGGGCAAAAAAAATTGAGCATGACGCTTCGCATGCTCGTTGTTCCCGCCAACGTCGCTGGGGTCTTTCTATTTTTTGCCGCGATTGGCTGCCTCCCTGTTCTGCGAGAAAGTGAACTCTCAGACTTCCTGTCGTGTGTATGGCCCTGTTTTCCAGAATGCATGGTACACGACTCTCATCGGACGAGAGAAGCGGTACAAACATGTGAGAGGAAAGAATCTCGTGTGCGATGAAGCTCCGTCGACGCAATTGTAATGCTCTTCGACGGGTTGCAGACATCTTAGCCGCGAGTGCTTTGCTCGTTGTAGCGCGTCTGGCCGTTTTGTTAGTCGGCAAGAAACAACGTTTTCTCCGGAGTATTTCATCCCCCCCTCCACCAAAACGAAATCCTCGTTCGTGAACAAAAAAAAAAAAAGACGTCGATTACCGATAGCCATAAAAATGCCAAAGCAGCCATTGCTACGACTAACAGACCACTGCGGCTTAGTGTCTGCCCACTATATCTTCCAGTCAGAGCTGGGCGCTGTGGCGTCACTGTGTAGCACCTGCACAATGAGTAGACAATTTGCTCGCCGCATACTACCCGCGAGAATATACGGTGTTTTTCAAAGCTGAACAGATTTGTTTAGAAAGAGCCGTAAAGCTACACGTATTTGGTTTGTGTGGGTGAGTTATACGGCCATGGGGACATACTGTAGGGGCTAATCTAACGGTCAATCGCCTAACTTAGCACAGTTTATTAAATTACTTTTTTAGAGCACAGCTCTTAGGCGCCCATTTCCGGCTTGAGCGGCGTTGGCGTTGCCGTAACCGTGAGGCAACGTGACCTCCCCTGAGGTCGCGTGACCTCCGTGACGTCACGGGGGTCATGTGACCTCAGGCGGGTAGTCACGTGACCTCAAGGGGGTGGTCACGTGACCTCAAGGGGGTAGTCACGTGACTTCAGGGGGTTCACGTGACCTCAGGGGGTTCACGTGATCTCAAGGGGTCACGTGACGTCACAGGAATCACGTGGCCCCATGGCGGAGTAGCAGGCACAGTGTTGCCATTTTAGCGATTTTGTCGCTAGATTTAGCGATTTTCTATACATTTAGCGAGTGATTTTTTTTAATTTAGCGGCTAGCAATTTTTTTTGTGACTTTGGTGTTCAACCGTAATCTTGTTATTTTGAACAATTTTAGAGCTGCTCGTAGGCTAAACCTTTTTGCTTCTCTAGCCGAGTTTGCTTTGGGTATGTGCTCAATTTAGCGGCGCACTTCAAAAAAATGTCAACACTATCAACACTGCAGACCATCTCTCCCGCGCCCACGTACCCACGTACCCACGTGCTCTCCGCCAAACGTCATCCTGACTATAAGAGCTGGCCTCAAAAGGCACGCAAAGACGTGTTCCGACTAAGGACTTCCAGAAGTAGTTTTTCGGCGAACTGGCACAGCTGAAGCCTACAAAGCTGGCAATGAACGGTCGACATCGGCAGATTTAGGTGACTTGAGCGCAGTCACCATCGAGGAAGAACTCTTCTTCTTCTGGACTGTTCCGTTGAACTGTTCTTGAAGTCAAAACAGGCATTATTTCCGTGTTAAAATTACCAAGTACCCGTTTCTTATTCGTACTTTCGTACTTACCGCCTAGTCGTTTCCCCCCAAAAAAAAACATTACAAATAAAAAACGTCCTAGTTGTTTTTCAGTGTAAATTTAACCTCTCAAAATACCTGAGATAAGATTATGTCAGGTTCACTTACTTTAAAAGGGTTTAATGAGCTTTTGGAATTCAGCGAATATTTTAGCGACTTCCCGGCGAATCTAGCGACTGTTTAGTGACTTCCTGGTCTCAATTTAGCGGCGCCCGCAAAAAAAAGATGGCAACACTGAGCAGGCAGGATAACGAGGTGAGGAGGAGAGAGGAGGGGTATACTCTCCCTTCAGTACCTTTCCTCCTCCTCCTCAAGAGCTGCGCTCTAGTTCGGCGTTACAGGGAGTTGTAAACGGCTTTCATTTTTTTATTAGGGAAACTAGATAGTGATGTTTCATTAATATGGACACCTCCTTTCCCCCTCAAAATTGTCCATAACGTGAGTTGTCCATAATCACGAGACAAAAATGCACGAATTTTTCCCGTTTCTCTGAAAATGTTGTCCATATGGCGGGGTACCCATATTAGCGGGGTTCATATTAACGAGACATGACTGTATGTCATTCTAACTGGGAACTTGCGGAGCGTCATCGAAAACCACTAAATCAACTCTTTTTAGAAAAATATAAGGCAGGGACAGCATTTTATGGCGCACTGAAAAAACGCTGTTTGGACGCGTTTCTAGGTTTTGGTTTCTTATCGGAGCCCATCTTTGTGCCCGCGCTCCTGCTTCCCGGTGGTCGCTGCGCGAAGCCGTCACATCGTCTCTCTCGTAGGATGGAAAGAAATATGGCGCACGTGTGTTGCGCGTTCTGGCCACTGGGGAGCAGGACCGCGGGCACAAAGTTGCGCTCCGATAAGAAAGCGAAACCTAGAAACGCATCCAAATTGAGCATTTTTTTACCGAACGCCGTAAAATTCTGCTCGTTTTATATATATATATATAGATATAGATATAGATATATGTAGATATTGATATTTTTTTAAGGGTTGATTTAGAGGTTTTCGATGACGCTGAGCAAGTTTCTAATTGGATCATTATATATATATTTTCACTGAGTAAAATAATGATTGACCAATTTTACTTAATTAGCCGACTGACCGTTAGGATTCGCCTCCTATATTCTGTCCCCCTGACCTTATAACTCACCTCCACAAAGAGCATAAGTGTAGCTTTCGCGGCTTTTTTAAAACAAATGTTCAGCTGCAAAAAAATTCGCCCTGTATAGTGTCACAGAAAGGGCCGCAAAATATGTCACATGGTGTATCGTTTAGATAATAGGGACAGGCAAGCAGATCGGTGTGGCCATGGCTACTACTGGTTGGAACAGCGCGTGTCATTTTTATTCGCACGTGAAGGACGCTCCCCCGTGCTGCTCGGTAGTGCTAGGCCGATGGCCGATACAAAGGGGCCTTCATGTAACGCTGAAGGTTGTCGAGATCTTGGCGGTGGCTTACAGAACCGCCGGCAAAGTTGTCAAACGGATTCGTGCGTCGCCCTTGCTGCGACGACACAACCTCTTGTTATTGGGCAGGCACGTAGCCAGGGTGGAGGAGAAGGGGGGGGGGGGGGGGGTGGAGAAGAAAGCTTTAGGACGGCTTCGCAGATGCCAAGCGAAAAGCTCTGTTTCTTCCCTCTTGCTTTTTACAAACACGTCGGTTCGAGCTGTTTACACGATGGCCTACCGATTTAAGTCCATAGCCTTCACATCTGACGAAGATGTAGGCATGCAAATCGAAGCTGAGAGACCTGTTCATGTCGCTAAATAGAGAGAGGCCTCCGCCACCCCGCTGCACCAAGAAACATGCTAAAAAGCTCACCACATCCAAACCTCAGCAGATCTTTCCATGCCGATTTCCTGCGGCGCTAATGGCCAAACGGATTGCTGCGTAAACGACCGGCTCTGGGAGCATCAGAAAAAGTAGAGGACGCTACACCCAACAGTCTGTACCAAACAATAGACACGCAAAGACGAAAATCTCGTGGCTGCATTCCCAACTTTTGCCTCCACAATGGCACCGGTAATTAATTATTCGTGACCGCGTCGGGAGAGGAATATAGAAGCCTTTCGAGTGGTGACGACCTCGCAAATCATAGGCTCATTGTCTCTTTTGCTCAGAAAGACCTCGATGCCCGGCCGGCTAGAATGATGCCATTTTAGTCCTAAATCCCCCTTCCCTTCTTTTATCTAATGCTTGGAAGTCGTGGCCTCAGCAAATACCCCCCTCCTCCACAAAAAACAAACATTCTGGCGACGGGTTTGATACTGTGGTTGCCGTTGACCAGCCGACTACAGACGCCCGCTATGGCTGCACCAGAGCAGGCCTCTATAGTATCTACTTTCAATGGTGAATACACCGCTAGGCTCGGAACTGCTTGCAACAGTTGTGACGTTGCCGGGTGGAAATGGGAGACAACATAAAAGTGTGTTAACGCACCACTATGACACACGTGATAGGCACCGTAGTATCGCTAAAGACAAAGTGTATACGCCAAACGCCCAAGGCAAATATGTTCAGCTGTAGCGACCAGGGAATGCCATATATTGTTAACTGTTTAATAGGTAAAGGCCCCAAGTTACCCATAGAGATGCCCTAACAACCGAAACATTGTGAGGATTAAATAGTATTTGGTGACAGGTTAAGAATACAGTAGCTCCGCGGCAACCAGCGGAAACTTTCTGCCTCTGATAGCTCTTTGGCGCACATGAAGTCAAAGCCAGGCGACCGGTAATAAGCTCGCGCTGGAGGCGGAGCAGATACTCAGTTTTAGCTTGTCATCGACTATAGCAAATGCATAAACACTGATTTATGAAAACTTGTTTTTTTTTCCTTTTTTGTTGCTTCCAGTGGTTCATGCCCTAGTGCTCTCCTTCGAGCGCCTCGACGGATCTCTGCGCTACGACGTCATAATATCAGAGTCCTACCGTAACCTGCTGGACCTCCAGCAGCGGGAGTTCTTCTGGGTCCCGGACGCCAGATGCCCGTGTCCCAAACTCCGGGTGGGTCGCGAATACGTCATCACCGCGCAGGCGCACAACGACCTCCTCAACAAGGAATCCAAGTTCGTCGTGGACAGCACGTGCTTTGTGCGCCGATTCACGGAACGGAGACGCAAGCAACTCGAAAGGCTGCGTGAGACACAGTCCAGGCGCTGCAATGTGACGACTTAGCGGCAGTGTTCGGTTGCTCGAACCCTGCGACCCAGAGTTCGTAATCACGTGGCGGGTGCAGACCGTGAATTGTGATGACATGTGGTCGTTTTCGCCTGAGCAGGGTTGTGACACCACGGTACGTGGTTTGCGGGAACAGAGCAAACGATAAAGCCCACATCGTTGCTTCGAGGCATCTTGTGAAGTAAGGAACGTCATCTGGTGCCGTCTAGTGAAGACAACGCCGCCATATTGAGAAGGAACAGGCGTGGTCTTGACGCGGTGCCACCTCGAGCAGAAACTGCTGTCATCTCGTTAAAGTATTTGACTCACCTCGAGAGCTAGTCGGTGCAGCCTGTCATGTTGTCCTCTTCTACCCTGTGGGCTAGTACTTTCATTGTCGCCAAACTAGCGAGGCTAACTTGTTGTCGCCTTGCGGTCTCTATCCCACCACCTTCTGAACAGTCATCTCTTTTCTGATCGACGTCTCATTGTGTCTGGGCAGCTACCATCTTCTCAAACATTCAATGCCAGCTTGGAGTACGCGGCAGTTTCTTCTGAACGAACCAGCTTCTCTTCAGTGTATAAAATTTGTATACGCCTCAACTTGAGACGTCTTGCAATGGACAATCAAGTGTCGTGCGAATGTTGTGCAACGCATGTCATGTACACTTCATTTGCGGAAAGTGATTTGCAGACGGCATCCGTGTCCCACCGTCTTGTTTTTTCGTGGTGGGAAAATTCAAATACGCGCGAGCTTTTCTCCCAGCTAAATTATATTGACGGATCATGGTTCCGAACTGGCTTGCTGATACCAGCTTTTAAGTTTGCCACGTCCCCAACGCTGTTCAACTAATCGTTTCTTGTGACAAAAGAAGCAAAACAAGCATGTTAAACTTTCACTTTCATTGGTACTTACTACTTTGTGAATAAACGTGTTGCTGTTATGGTAGTTAGCAAGGCGAAAAAGGACCGAACGTTTTGAGATGCATTGGTTCACGCATGATTATCGATGTGCCTACTACTAGGCAAATTATATCAAGATCTCGACTACGTTCACGTGTCTTGATGCTACGGGGGTAACCAGGAAATTGTCATGCGGATTTTGTGGCAAAACGCTGCCTGTCGCCATTCGCTATCGTCAAACATTTCAGTGTAGTCAAATATCTTTGTTCAACTTTACACACGTTGAGTGAGGAGACTGCTTTGTTTCGGTGCCTAATTCATTCTAGAGTCTCGTAGGAATCCTATTAAGAAAAATGCGATACTATGTTCATGTCGACATGACAGTTGCTTAGATAGCAGTGAATGCCATTTATGCTTGTGCGTTTGAATTGTCGTAAAAAAGCGCATACAGAATGCAATCCTTTCGAAGTTTATTTCTGCCCATGTTGGAATTGCAAGAGCGCAGCATTTTTCGATCATTTCGTCGAATGTTCTCTTGACGCTTTGCGGCACTAAGAAAACTCGAACGTGCCGTTTTAAAGTCGGGGTTATGCTGCATGCTGTCTTCCTAAACCTTCATTGTGCACCGCTAAAAAAAACGTAATTCATAAATCGAAAAAGAGTAAAAAGTCAGCGAGGATTATGCCTACGCCCAATTCGCAGCTGCTTTAAGCTCCTCGGCCATCTTGATGGCGTTTTTTTCCGCATCAGTTTAACAACTTTTTATACATTTGAAACACCGCCGCTATACTTTACTTTTTTTACTTTCAAAAGTATGTGCGTGCTTGACCTTGGGTAGCTGGACGGGAAGAGAAATTTTGATATACCTCTCGCATTTTCTACACTTGTTGATCCCCGGTGGCTTTCTTCGGCTAGTGCATCCGTGCGTCTGACTGTATTTGTGTACATAAAACGGCACGTGTTCTTGTACAAAGCACAGATGTGTGTCATCCGCGAAGAGCCTCTTTTTTTCTTTTTTTTTTTGGCAAAGCAATACAATTATTTGTTGTTCGTTCTCGGATGTGTTTCTGTCTGTTTTTATTCGATCTGCGTAAACCTGAGGTCCCTCTGGTAATACATTCTGCAGAATACACACTCCAGGCACTGTCTGAGGCGGGGTTTTTCCTGTTATGACGGCTCTCTAACATTTGCCGTAGAACATTCTGAAGAAATGTTTGAAGTATACATATGTACAAAGCAAACCCGCTTAATTCGAACGTGCTTGATTCGCTTAATTGGAAAGTAATGCGTGTGCGCAGACCATTTTGTCTTCAGCTCTACAGCCAACACCTCGTCTTTTGTATTCTGTACGAGCGTCATGACAGCGGCTTTGTGCATGTTGTCATGTTTAGTTTTAACCTAGATAATGTCTGCCGTGATATACTCTGTATACCTCGTCTCGCTTGCACATGGTAACGGCCACGCACAGGTCAGTGTTGGTTGCTTCCGTCGGTGCTCCCGAGGTTTGTGGATTCGCGCAACCTAAACGTCATTAAAAGCGGCAAGTACATGCCTTGGTTGCGGTATAGCTGTAGTGTCGAAATTTGAATTTGAAATTTAGTTTAATTTGATACATTTATTTATTTATTTGTTTGTTTGTCCGTCCGTCCCAAAGGCCCTCACTGGCATTACATAGGTGGGGAAAGCGGTGGTACAAAGTTTGATACAAATGTGTCAAGTGGGGAAAAAGAGCTATTACATAGTTGGCATAAAGAATATTAAACAAGCAATAAACAACATAAATAACACGAACACTGGATTAAATCCTAACACAGAGCAGCACTATACAAGTTGATACATATTACTTAAAGAGCTGATGAACATATCTGGGGAACTGATTAACGCGATTTCTCTGGGCAGGCTGTTCCATTCGGCGATGGCAAGAACCGGAGGGGAATTTTCGAACAAGTTTGTACGGGCAAAGACGGGCGATACTTTAAAGTGATTATCTACGCAAGACGAAATACGATGTGTGGGCTGAATGAATAAGATTGTAAAGGGAGATGATCCATGGTGGACCTTGTGGGAAAAAGGACATGCTGGCAATACATCACCTGTACCGCAATCGGGTTAGGTTGAGGTTAGTTTAAGGTTAGCTTTTATGTTAGGCACACTGGAAGTCGCGGGTTATAAATCTTGCAGCTTTATTTTGAAGTGCCTCAAGTTGGTTAGTTAAGTAAAGCTGATGAGGGTGCCATCTGATGAGCAGGGACTCAAACCGAAAAATATAACGTTTCGGTTACGGTTACGGTTACCGCTTCCTGTTGATAACGGTTTCGTTTCGGTTTTTTACGGTTTTCATTTTTACGGTTTCGGTTACCGGTTACACGTTCATAAAAACCGGTTTATTTCGGTTTTTCCAATAATTTGTCTAATTGAAATGCTAGACAGCCATTTTAGAAAAAACTGTTTAAAGTAGTCTCAGATATCCAATAACGTGAAATACAAGGAACCTAGAAACGTCTTAATACTTCTAATTGGTCAGAAGTTGCACACGTTCCTAGCTCCAACTCTTGTTCACTACATCTACTTACATTATTTAGTTTGATGCCCGAGCATACATGTTACTTCTAGTACTCGGGGATCATCGCGTTCTATATAATAAAAATTAAAATAAACACCGCTACTCTGTTGTTTGGCACCATTTATAAACAATTACCCTAAGAAAGTTCCCACTTGATGCTGGAAGAACCATTCGCACTTTCTCGTCGCTACAGTTGATTTCAACCTCATACATGCAGGCGAGTCTTCGCTTCAATGAAGGAAGGAACAGAACTACAGCCATCCACTAGTAAAATACTGCTAAGTGGAATGAAGTAATAAAATTGAGAGCTGGGCTGGGCGGGCCGTGAGGCAAGAAGCCTTCGTGCAGCGAATGGAAACTCCGCCGTAGTCGGGCGGCCCGTGAAAACTACTTGCCTCACTAAACACTGCCCAGTCGACTTCAGGTGCCTGCTGGGTCGAGTGGACTGGCGGTGTAGGTCCCGTCGCTTTTGACTTGTAGGCAGTGCTACCCAGGTCCGACTGAGAGTCTTCGACGACACTTTGCTTGTCTGTAGTGTGTTCCTTTGTGTTGGTGTGGTTTTCCTCCTTGCCATCGTACGTGTCGAAGGAGCCGTCATCGGCGTGGGGCTCAATGACTGTCGGTCCTGCTGAGCCACTCCAGGATTCGCTCGGTGGCGGTGGTTGTCGAGTCGGAATCCATTGGGCCGTTTTCTTCGATCCAAGATCAAGATCGGGCACGGTCGGCCGAGACGCCAGCCTCGCAAAGAGCATGGGCGAGAATGTCCTCGACAGGAAAAACGCACAGGAGCGTCGAGGAGACGACTGTGCCGTCGATGACGGCACTGGTGAGTTTCGAAGACTCAGCGTAGCTGCCGGACTCACGATTAGGGGGCCTCTTCGACTTGGTGTCTGGGCGGTAGCTGGTGTGCGCGGGAGCACGAGGCGTGTGGCGTCCGCGTCGAGGCTGGTTGGGTAGCTGGTCGGGGAGCTCTCTGAAAACCTCAGACTCGAATCCTCGACGTCTGGGATAGGACTGCCGTCCTACAGTTCCCTCTCGCGACGACGTGGAAGAGTTCCAGTCTATCGAAAATGAGGTGCTGGTGTTCGGGGAGCATGTCATCCCAGTTGAACCGATGGCGGGGGAGATGCCTGATCTCATGGACATCTCTTGTGGAGAAACCTATGGTGTCCTGGGCGAGGTCGCTCAGAATGTCGTAGGCATGACGGACCCTCGCTCCGGCATGGGTGGTGGGGGCTCTATCAGAGGTAGTTGGATTGCGCTGGTGGCTCTGGTAGAAATGATTCTCGTAGAAGCCATACCTCCGGCGGTGGCAGGGGGAGGCCTCCGTTGATGCTGGAAGCGATCTCTCGGCGCGTCTGTGGATGTTCGAGCTTCCCGTACCGACGTTCGAATAGCTCGCGTTCACAGTTTGCGAGAGAGACTGTTGAGACTGCTGGCCGTTTGGGGCGAGATTGGCCAGGCCATCGACGATTGGAAGCAGGGCAGCTCCCAAGGTTCAGGCGAAGGAGGCAGAAATTGCATCCCATGTCTGTTGGACGACGGTGGCGCGTTGGCGCGTTTGACGAGGAGGCATCCTTCTCCTTGGCTTTTTCTTTTGTCATGTTGAGAAGCTGAGAGGCGTGGCAGTTCCGGCGACGGTAAAGCCCCTCTATCCTGGGAAAAGTGGTGCCGTTCATTGTTGTTAAATGCTCGAGGCACGTGCGACGCGCTACTTCTGGGAAATTCATGCCGTCTGAAATAGCTAAGTGTTGCGCTGTGCCGCCATGATCTTCCCAAGGGCTGCACGTTGCACGTGCCTTGTGCATCGACGAACATTGCGCTACTTTTGAAACATGAAGGGGCTTTAGGCGGCGGGTGCCACTCGGTTTGAAGAAGGGTCTCGGCGCGGGAAGGAAAAGAAAAAAGCTCGGACACCCTTCTGACGTTTCCTCGCTCCTTCCACCACTCTCAGCCCGAGCATATATATATATATATATTGTATATATAATACAAAACGCCAATGTCAAACCCCTGACTTTTTTTTTTCTTTCTGTGTTGTTTCAAAATCGTCACTCGCGACACGTTTCACACTAAATAAACAACATAAACATTATTAATGAACAGCAGCGCCCATTAAAGCCCCTTCATGTTTCAAAAGTAGCGCAAAGTGCGTCGATACACGAGGCACGTGCAACGTGCATCCCTTGGGAAGGTCATGGCGGCATAGCGCAGCTCTGAGCTAGATTTCAGACGCCATGTTCTTTCCAGAAGTGGCGCGCTGAACGTGTCTCGCGCGTTTCCACAACAATGAAGGCGCCACTTTTCCCAGGATACAGGGGCTTTAGGGCCCGTTTGCTCGAAGCGCTAACCGCGGCTAAAGTTAGCCGCAGTACCTAGGAGAGGGATTCTGAGATCATGTGACAGGGATCGGTAGGGATGCGGGAAAACATGGCGGTGCCCCGCAAAGTGAGCGCCGCTCGCTTCGGAGCTAATATGTCGTTGTAGCTGCAATATCGCGCGCGTTAGTCAGTAACTAATTGTGCAGGAGGCTTTCGCTTTGCCTTACCTCACTTAAATCGCAAAGCATGAGGAATGACCTCGCCGCATTTTTTAAATAGTATTTAGATTCTGGCCATTCTTAAGCCTAAATGAACACGATAATTGTCGGCATGCATGGAAACGTCTTTGGAAAGTGGATTGCCTTGACTCAATCGGCCTTGTATTGATAGCACACAAATTTCCCAAGCACCGAGGTGCATGCTACGAGTGTAGTTGCAGGCATTGCGCGTGCTGGCGTATGCAGTAGTAATATACCCGTTGCTCTGGGCAGGGGGCGCGAGCGCGTCCGGAAGACTTACGCAAGACGCGACCAAGTTTTGCTGGCTGCATCATCCGTGTGGCGCTGTAACGTTCGATTTTGCACGTGCCACGTTCGAATACAAGCCGCTGTCACCATCTGTAGATGTGCGGTAACAAAATGTCTAAAAAAAGTTTTAAAAAAAAGAACAGAATTATGCTGCTTGCGGCCGCAGCGTTCCATTAAACATTCCTTTCATATTTGCTTTCTTTCACAGCTTCCGCGAGCACGTATATTTCACTTTACGTGATAGTGAAGCCGAATCTACTCGGAAAAGCGCGTCATCCTGAACGATGCTCGCACTGCACGAGCGCGCGTGCTTGGCAGGGACGCGGAAAGCTCGCAGCTCGCTCTTGTAGCCTCTGCTACGCTGGAACTTAGAATGGAACTGAGTAGAAAAAACTCTAGTGGGGAAGCGTATTGATGCACGTTCGAAACGCGAGCCAAATATTCTATTTTGCTCGCCTGCAGCGCTGCTCAAAACTTGTGAGCTACGGGCCTATCGTTCTAAAGGAAAAAGTCTAAAACAAATTTTGCCTTGCACGCGCGTTCGTCCAAGTCTTATAATGATTATTTACTTCGAATCTTTTATAAGAGGAAGGACAGCGAGCGCGGACCATAGAATTACACTTCCAACGTTCTTCTTGATGCTTGGGTA